GGTCTCCTCTTTCTGGTCTCCCTCCCTCTCTAGTCTCTCTCCCTCTCTGGTCTCTCTCCCTCTCTGGTCTCTCTCCCTCTCTGGTTTCTCTCTGCTCTCTCTCCGGTCTCTCTCCCTCTCTGGTCTCTCTCCCTCTCTGGTTTCTCTCTGCTCTCTCTCCGGTCTCTCTCCGCTCTCTCTCCCGTCTCTCTCTCCCGTCTCTCTCTCCGCTCTCTCTCCGCTCTCTCTCCGCTCTCTCTCCGCTCTCTCTCCGCTCTCTCTCCGCTCTCTCTCTAGTCTCTCTCCGCTCTCTCTCCGCTCTCTCCCCGCTCTCTCCCTGGTCTTCCCATAGCCCTCAGTCCTGTTTGTGTGAGGGATTTTACAGCCTTAAAACACACAACCTCGACTTCAATAATGTCCCTTATTGCGAGTTAATTTTAGAACACATCACCCCTGCCATGAACCACAGACCAGCGCACACCGAAACGCATTCAAACCCATCCCTCCTTAAAATTAATGTGCATTTTATGATCTGTTCCGCTCGTGATTTGGGGCTAAATCCAGACAGATACAAGGGGCTTATCCTCCGCTCTGGCAGCTCCGCAGTCGTTTGAACAAAGCCGTCCAATCAGGCCTCGAACAGAGCAACGCCAAACACTTATCTGATGCAGGAACGGACTGGAGCGATACCCGTGGGTGTGAGGTGAGAAAGAGGAGGTTCGACAACAACTTATACTAATGACAGAGAGCAGAGAGTCAAACTGAAGCGGAAATATACCATTAATGATAGACGCAAACATACAGTGGAACCTCTACAATATCTATCCATTCTCCCACTAATTATATATTCATTACTCTCTAGTATGAAGCATTTACAGCTATTTAAAATGCATTTACCGCTAATTATCTCTGCTAATAGTGAGTTTTAATATTGAGAGTAGTTTTCCCTTGGGTCTTTTAAGGGTTTGAAGCCGCCGTGAAAATCAAAAATAGGGTTAGACGCCATTTTGTAAGTAAGAAAACCTACACAAATAATTCAAATGCAGATTTGAAGGCTCGTCTTTCCAAAGAGAGAGACCAGAAAGAGACACCAGAGAGAGAAAAAAGAGAGAAACCAAAGAGAGAATGGAGAGAGAGACCAAATAGGTTCGAGGCTTGTCTCTCTTCACTCTTTTTAATGTACTGTGATTATCTTTGTGCACTATGTAGTGTCTGGTTTGTGCACTGCAACACCGACATTTCCCCACTGTGGGAGGAATAAAGGCTCTCTCATGCTGGTCTCCCTCGCTCTGGTCTCTCTCACTCTGGTCTCTCTCACTCTGACTCTGGTCTCTCTCACTCTGACTCTGGTCGTTCTCACTCTGGTCTCTCTCACTCTGGTCGTTCTCACTCTGGTCGTTCTCACTCTGGTCGTTCTCACTCTGGTCGTTCTCACTCTGGTCGTTCTCACTCTGGTCGTTCTCACTCTGGTCGTTCTCACTCTGGTCGTTCTCACTCTGGTCGTTCTCACTCTGGTCGTTCTCACTCTGGTCGTTCTCACTCTGGTCGTTCTCACTCTGGTCGTTCTCACTCTGGTCTCTCACGTTGGTCTCTCACTCTCTCCCTCAAAGTGCGTGGTAAAAAAGTAAAACATATTCAACATAAATACAACAGCTTCACGTCTCAGAAAGAGGACATGGACTGGACCAGCAGACCTGGACCAGCAGACCTGGACCAGCAGACCTGGACCAGCAGACCTGGACCAGCAGACCCCACACAGACCAGACTACATTTCTCCATGACCTTTGAGGACCTGTTCATTACAGACAAAGCACATCTGACATTTGACGGGGAATAGCTTTTCTGTTGTAATAAACACCAGAGGATATTTTAGGATCTGTTTGACAGCGACGGAAAACTGAGCCGGTACAGCAAGAGGCACCGGTATATCTCAGAAATATATGTATCAAAGTACATCTGCGACAAATAAGATATTATAAACTTTATTCATCTCAAAATGGAGAAATTTAAAGTTAAATGAACCAATTCAGACTCAGAGGAGCACATGGACTGGCCTCCTGCTGGGACTCTGAGGAGCACAGGGACTGGCCTCCTGCTGGGACTCTGAGGAGCACAGGGACTGGCCTCCTGCTGGGACTCTGAGGAGCACAGGGACTGGCCTCCTGCTGGGACTCTGAAGAGCACAGGGACTGGTCTCCTGCTGGGACTCTGAAGAGCACAGGGACTGGCCTCCTGCTGGGACTCTGAGGAGCACAGGGACTGGCCTCCTGCTGGGACTCTGAGGAGCACAGGGACTGGTCTCCTGCTGGGACTCTGAAGAGCACAGGGACTGGCCTCCTGCTGGGACTCTGAGGAGCACAGGGTGATTGATTCTAACTTTGAGAAGCCTTGTGTATGAACTGTGCCATACATATAAACTTGGAGGCCATTGTATAAGAAGGTCTGGTATAACTAATTTTATAAAACACACCTAGACTGATCTTTTGAAAGACATTATAATCCCCTCAGACTGTAAACCTGGGTGTTCTTTGCTGCTGACAGCTAAGAAAGGCTGGTATATTGTGGGCTTTATGCAGTTATGAATATTTCAGAGAGAAAACAAGTCAAATATAGTAGAATGTGGCGTAGTTGTCAATACTCTGCAGCTCCAGCCCCTCTCCAGCTCTCCCCCTGACCAGCCCCTCTCCTGCTCTCCCCCTGACCAGCCCCTCTCCCGCTCTCCCCCTGACCAGTCTGCAGCTCAAGCCCCTCTCCCCCTGACCAGCCTGCAGCTCCAGCCTCGATCCCCGCTCTCCCCCTGACCAGCCTGCAGCTCCAGCCCCTCTCCCCGCTCTCCCCCTGACCAGCCTGCAGCTCCAGCCCCTCTCCCCGCTCTCCCCCTGACCAGCCTGCAGCTCCAGCCCCTCTCCCCGCTCTCCCCCTGACCAGCCTGTAGCTCCAGCCCCTCTCCCCGCTCTCCCCCTGACCAGCCTGTAGCTACAGCCCCTCTCCCCCTGACCAGCCTGTAGCTCCAGCCCCTCTCCCCGCTCTCCCCCTGACCAGCCTGCAGCTCCAGCCTCGATCCCCGCTCTGTTTAATATTCTGAACACAGGCTCTGGCTTCACTCCTGCCTCATTTCTACATTCATGTGGAGAGAGAAGGATCTGCCGTGGAGGGATGGAGACCCAGAGTCCATCGCAGTCTCTCTGTGGAGTCCCTTTCTTTACTCTCTCTCACTTGTCTCTCTCTGGTCTCTCCCTGGTCTCTCCCTGGTCTCTCCCTGGTCTCTCCCTGGTCTCTCCCTGGTCTCTCCCTGGTCTCTCCCTGGTCTTTCTCTAGTCTCTCTCTAGTCTCTCTCTGGTCTCTCTCTGGTCTCTCTCTGGTCTCTCTCTGGTCTCTCTCTAGTCTCTCTCTGGTTGGACAGAGACCTAGAGTTCATTGCTGCTCTATGAAATGATCCAGAGAGAACCAGCTGAGGAGAAAACACAAAGGCGTTGGTGCTTTTGTCAAAGCAGTTATTGTGAAAGAGGAACTAACTACCCCCAGAGTTCAGCGAAATGTGATTTCCCCAGAGAAAAATCTTTTGATGTAAAAAAAGGCCAGTTTCTGAGTTTGTCATTTAGGGAGTGTGATGCTTACGTGCTGTCTCTCACTCTGGTCTCTCTCTCCAGTATCTCTCCAGTCTCTCTCCAGTCTCTCTCCAGTCTCTCTCCAGTCTCTCTCCAGTCTCTCTCCCTGGTCTCTCTCCCTGGTCTCTCTCCCTGGTCTCTCTCCCTGGTCTCTCTCCCTGGTCTCTCTCCTGGTCTCTCTCTCTGGTCTCTCCCTCTGGTCTCTCCCTCTGGTCTCTCCCTCTGGTCTCTCCCTCTGGTCTCTCTCTCTGGTTTCTCTCTTTGGTCTCTCCCAGGTCTCTCTCAGGTTATTAGAAAAGTGTATAAAGTGTGAGTGTCTTCACAGATTTCACTTATTACTCCTACGGCTCATTATTAATCCAAGTCCATCCTCTGGTCTGTGTATTGTCCAAACAGGGATCAGCAGATGTGGGAGTGTGGGCTCCTCTGCAATAACTGACATCTGTGTGGATACAGACAACGACAAACAGCAGGAGGGGAAGAGAAGATTTACTGTCTCTGCTTGAGCTCTGAGCATCGACCGCAGAGGAGAGGAGAGGAGAGAGAGAGGAGGGGAGGACAGAGGAGAGGAGAGGAGAGAGGAGAGAGGAGAGAGGAAGGGAGGACAGAGGAGAGGAGAGAGGAGAGGAGATGAGAGGAGAGGAGAGAGGAGAGAGGAGAGGAGAGGAGAGAGGAGAGAGGAGATGAGAGGAGAGGAGAGGAGAGAGGAGATGAGAGGAGAGGAGAGAGGAGAGAGGAGAGGAGAGAGGAGAGAGGAGAGAGGAGAGAGGAGAGAGGAGATGAGAGGAGAGGAGAGGAGAGAGGAGAGGAGAGAGGAGAGGAAAGAGGAGAGAGGAGAGGAGATGATTTGTGATGTGGACTGAAGCTATTTGTGTTGCCCTGTGTAAAAAAAAAAAATAATAATAATATTTTAGTCCCATTGAGATTAAGAACCTCTTTTTCAAGGGAGTCCTGGACAAAAGTTACATACAATGACAGATTATAAAACAGTCACATACAATTTCATAAAAGTACAGACTATAAAAACAGTTAAATATCAATGAGGATGTCTTAGTCTCAATCTGGATCTAAAATCATTCAATGAGCGAAGTTCAGATAATTTCCAGTCTTTTTGCAACACTTTCCATGTAGAAGGAGCAGCAAATACAAAAGCTTTTCTCCCCAGTTCTTTGCAAAAGGAACAGAGCAACAAAAGATGTTAAAACTGTAAAATGTTACAATGTCTGACAATATCAAATATACTTCTTTAGGAGTGAAACTTCTGCCTCGTTTTTGATGAATACCTAAGCTCACTACGCTCCTGTGTAGTGTTGGTCATTTGTGGTGGTTCTTGGAGAGGCAAGTCTGAGGTGGTTCTTGGTGTTAAAAGTTTGAGAACCCCTGGAGTAGAGCAGAGCGGTGATGGTCACTCACCCCACACGGCTGGAAGATGAGGCCGTCTACTTCGTGGCTGACCTGTGCGGTGAAGCTTCCTTCCAACAGCTGCAAAGAAGAACATGACAAAAATACATTACGGCAGGTTTAGGAAATCACACACGGTGATTCAAAGTCCCTGTGCTCCTCGGGGGACCAGCAGGAGGCCAGTCCCTGTGCTCCTCGGGGGACCAGCAGGAGGCCAGTCCCTGTGCTCCTCGGGGGACCAGCAGGAGGCCAGTCCCTGTGCTCCTCGGGGGACCAGCAGGAGGCCAGTCCCTGTGCTCCTCAGAGGCCCAGCAGGAGGCCAGTCCCTGTGCTCCTCAGAGTCCCAGCAGGAGGCCAGTCCCTGTGCTCCTCAGAGTCCCAGCAGGAGGCCAGTCCCTGTGCTCCTCAGAGGCCCAGCAGGAGGCCAGTCCCTGTGCTCCTCAGAGTCCCAGCAGGAGGCCAGTCCCTGTGCTCCTCAGAGGCCCAGCAGGAGGCCAGTCCCTGTGCTCCTCAATTTAATTCAATGCAATGTCTAGTATCTTCACTCTGGTAATGTAATGTATGATTTTAATTTTAATGTGATAATTTATGATTTTATGTGATTTTAACGTCTCTTTTCTTGTTTTGTGAATCACTGAGTATTGTATAAACTGTGCTACACAAATAAACTTGTGTTGCCTTTGCCTGATACTTAATTGTTGTTAAATCATCAAATCTGGCCTGTTTCACTTTCACATCTGTCTCTCAGTGCGTGGAACTCAAAAAGTGACTGACGAGACAAACTGAGGAATATTCTGTTTGAAAGACGAGAATAGCAACAGGTCGTTAGGTTTAGCTTCCATCACCGCGACAAGCAGCGAGTTTCTTCTTCTACATTAACACCAAATGTGGGCGCAGCTGTTCTGCCGCATGAGGAGGAGGACCCCCAGGGACCGATACTGTACGATTAAAGCACATTTTCCAAATGAGGAGCAGCAGCAGACGATAAGCAGACGAGGGAAATCTACCGGAGAAACACTTATCACATGTCGGAAAGTCAAGGAAAACAAGCGGCAGAGTAGAGTGGAGGGCGGGAAAAGGGACAAATGTGACGATTTGATGGTATTGTGATGTTTCTGCCACAACTTAATATTATTGCGATTCTTAACATACACCAAAGAGAGACCAGAGAGAGAGAAATCAGAGACCAAAGAGAGGGACCAGCGATACAGCAAGAATTGCGTTATTTGGGCCACATCCATCCATTTTCTTCCCCTTAATCCTTTTCTGGGTCAGGGGGGTGGCATCAGAGCTGCACCCAGCCCAACGAGCACCAGCCTTTGGCTGATCCTCACTGATCCTCCAGCAGGAGCAAGTCCACAGGAGGCTGCTCTGTCAGTCATGACACAGCCTTGATCTTTCAGCGGGGGCTTCGGGTAAAGTGGGGTGAAGTGTCTTGCCCAAGGACACAACAACAGCAGATCAGTGGGAGTCTTGAAGCAGGTCTTGTGGTGGGCTTGAACTCACGACCTTCAGGCCCAAAGGCCAATGCTCTACCAACTGAGCCACTGTCGCCCCTATTTGGGCAACAATTCAATATTATTGTGATTCAGACAGTATTGTGATTAGATTCTGTGATATATTGTGATTCATGCTCCTCATATTATTCAAAGACTTTACAAACATGAAGAAAAAAAATCAACTCAAATGTCACATTTATTTTGGTCTGAGCCTGAACTGAAGCAAACACTGAGGACGGAAGTGTAAAAACGTGATCCTTGAACATTCAGGACACAGGACCTAATTTCCCCCTCCACTAGAGTGTCTGTGCCGTTCAGGAAGCAGAGATGGCAGCAGTATGCGACTCAAATGTTAAAATGTGTCAGCAGTTTGAGACTTTTTTTTATAGTTTGAGTTGACTTGAGGTTGTTTGATTTCTCAGATGTGTGAAATGGCAGGTAAAGCCAGTTTCTGTTTGATTTATAGAGAGAGAGGAAGACTCACCCATTCCCAGCCGCACTGCTTCCTGATTGGACAGAACTATTTTAAACTCTTGTCACGCAGAAGAGGCCTCATGCCGTTGGTCTATCTACTCTCCAGCAAATATTTTAATTCCAAAGAGAGTTACGCGACCCAGCAACGAATCATGTGGGAGAAAATAGATGGATGTAAATATTGATTCATGTTAGACAGAGCTCAAGTTGACTCAACCTCAAAAAGTTGTCAATTTGCCAACACAGATCGGGATAAAAACAGTTAAAACACAGGAAATGCAATGATAAAAACACAGAAATTGGTCGATGAGGGGCACATGAGCAATGTCCAACCAGATTTTGTGACACAATCAAAAACCTGTGTGAGGAAGCCAGTGCAGAGACCTGAGACCAGGACTAAAGTGACGGTACTTCCTGGTTCTAGTCCGGACTCGAGCTGCAGAGTTTTGAATATATTGCAATTGTTTATTTAGAGACTTGTGAGCCGCTGTTATTGTAGTCTAACCGGAGACAAGGAGGATCAGAATCTCCAACTCTGCATTAGATACTATACTTTTGAATTGAAATTTTAAGATGGTAAAATGCTGCTAATATTATTGATTTGACGTGCATATTAACAAGGACTGGGCGATAAAACTATAACGATATATACTGCAATAGACACGTGTTCGATATCAATAGAAAACGGCGTCGATAGAAAAGTTTCACTTCACTCCGTTAGAAAAAACAGGAAAAAAAACACAGGAAGTAAAGCCGAGTCAGAAGTGCGCAGCATTCTGGGGGATGTAGGCAGAGACTTCTTGACCTATCACAGCCGACCACAAACCGCGAAACATTCTGGGAAATGCAAAAACAACAACCGCATCATGTGTAGAGTCTATGGATAATGGATCTATTATAATAGCCATGGATCTAAAGATCGTTTCAGTGCCGTTTCAATGGTACAGCATGTGCAGCGCGGGAGAGGCAGCGACTCGATGCATTCGGCATCGGAGATAAACGTTTTCCGGAGCCGTCACGGGGACACAAGACACTCGAAAACAGTCAAAACAGGAGCTAAACCAGGACTAAACCAGGATTAAACCAGGATTAAACCAGGACTAACTATGGGGGAGACTACTTGTCTGCAGCCTCATTTCCCTGTGACTGCAAACAAGGCTGCTAACATGTGTTAGCCGACACAACAGATGTATTCATTTAGGTTTAAAAAATTAAATTAAAAAACTATCGTGGGGCGACAGTGGCTCAGTTGGTAGAGCATTGGCCTTCAGGCCGGAAGGTCGTGGGTTCAATTCCCACCTCCACACCTTCTCCACCGACTCCCACTGATGACTGCTGTCGTTGTGTCCTTGGGCAAGACACTTAACCCCACTTTGCCTAAAGCCCCCACTGAAAGATCAAGGCTATGCTCACACTCAGAGAGCAGCCGTCCTCCTGTGGACTCATCACCTGCAGAGGGTCAGTGAGGGGCTGGTGCTATGAGACTTGGGTGGCATCTCTGACTGCCACCCCCCTGACCCAGAAATGGATTAAAGGGTAGAAAATGGATGGATGGAATTAAAAACAATCAATATATATCGTTATCGACCGATATGAATTACTTATATTGTGATATAGTTTTCAGCCATATCGCCCAGCCCTAGTATTAGCATTCTTATCTCCGATCAGATTTCTAATTTCTCATTACCCCTTTTGTCCCCGTTTCTTTTAACAGTCTAATAAAACCAGGCTAAGTGTCTCAAGGTCCTTGAATACAACAATTGCCAGGGTCCCAGCTCCCTGCGGTGACCAGGCTCATCCCGAGGCAGACTCAGACATGGCACAGTGGAAGAACTGGACAGACATTTTGTATTTGGCCTTCAGTATAATAAAACCGAGGCTCAGAGTCAATAACTGTGTGTGTTTAATATTCTGTACCAGCGGCATCAGAGAGCTGCAGCACAGAGAGAGCAGAGGTAGGAAATCAATCTCAAAAACATCATATGATCGTACGCCTCAGAAAGTGTGTGGCAGTAATGTAATCGCAAATGCCAGATCTGATATAGCGGCTCAGATAACTACACTCAGAGCAGTTTGGGGAGAGTTTTTCATCAGCGGAAACTACTTTGTGAAATGTTTTAACCTTTAGATTTGATTTTTAGCTTTTAAAAGTACTTGCTGGACTGTAAGCTGTAACTTTTCTGAGATATATTTTAACTCTGCGGTCCATACAGCGGCCAAAGGATGTAATTTATGGACCAAATATGTGTTTTTTTATCATTGAATTTCCTGTGTTTGAACTGTTTGATTCTCTGATCTGTTGCTGGCCCTCTATGGTCTCTCTCTCTGGTCTCTCTCTCTGGTCTCTCTCTCTGGTCTCTCGCTCTGGTCTCTCGCTCTGGTCTCACGCTCTGGTCTCACGCTCTGGTCTCTCGCTCTGGTCTCTCGCTCTGGTCTCTCGCTCTGGTCTCTCGCTCTGGTCTCTCGCTCTGGTCTCTCGCTCTGGTCTCTCGCTCTGGTCTCTCGCTCTGGTCTCTCGCTCTGGTCTCTCGCTCTGGTCTCTCGCTCTGGTCTCTCGCTCTGGTCTCTCGCTCTGGTCTCTCGCTCTGGTCTCTCGCTCTGGTCTCTCGCTCTGGTCTCTCGCTCTGGTCTCTCGCTCTGGTCTCTCGCTCTGGTCTCTCGCTCTGGTCTCTCGCTCTGGTCTCTCGCTCTGGTCTCTCGCTCTGGTCTCTCGCTCTGGTCTCTCGCTCTGGTCTCTCGCTCTGGTCTCGCTCTGGTCTCGCTCTGGTCTCGCTCTGGTCTCTCGCTCTGGTCTCTCGCTCTGGTCTCTCGCTCTGGTCTCTCGCTCTGGTCTCTCTCTCTGGTCTCTCTCTGGTCTCTCTCTGGTCTCTCTCTGGTCTCTCTCTGGTCTCTTGTTCTGGTCTCTCGCTCTGGGATCTATGGTCTCTCTCTGGTGTATCTCTCTGGTCTCTCTCTGGTCTCTCTCTGGTCTCCCTCTCTGGTCTCTCTCTCTGGTCTCTCTCTCTGGTCTCTCTCTCTGGTCTCTCTCTCTGGTCTCTCTCTCTGGTCTCTCTCTCTGGTCTCTCTCTGGCGTCTCTTTCTCTGGTCTCTTTCTCTGGTCTCTCTGGT